TACTGAATGGACCCAGCATGAAATGGGTCAGTAGGAAAGATGTTTACTTGTGGTTTTCCCCTACTGCTACAATGATGATAGATAGAATAACAAATTAGGAAAAGCACCAGAATTACCACTAAAAGGGAGAATTTTGGACCTGGTATGGGAGCACATGCTTGTAATTCCAGCACTTAGAATACAGAGGTATGAGAATCATGAGGATTAATAGTTTGAGGTCAGTTTGGACTACATGATGAGACAAAAAACCCAAATCAACAAAAAAATGTGCTTTGGAGTCGAAAGAAGGGTACAAAATTCCATTCCACTTCACTCTGCAGTGCTATAAAGTATGATTTAATCCTAAGTATGATCTAAGTCCAAAAACAAATATAAAAATACTAGTTTTGGTTGGATACACCAACTTCCCAGTTTGTTTTGAAAAAATGCTTAGTTTAAAGCTATTTGTCACCATTACAAATATACATGCTTGTATTGTATATGCTTATTACACAAAATGTGGAAAATACATAAAATGTAAAGTAAAAACCCAAGACTCAACTGTTTTACCACCACCCCAAAACAAACATTTAATATTTTGATGTATTTATGTCCTGATATTACATCTATATTATATTGAGAATCAATTTTTTAAATGTTAAAAATGTAACATAGGGCTGGGAAATGTGGCTTAGTGGTAGAGTGCTTGCCTAGCATGCATGAGAACCCTGGGTTTCATTCCTCAGTACCACATAAACAGAAAAAGCCAGAAGTGCTGCTGTAGCTCAAGTGATAGCCTTGAGCAAAAAGAAGCTCAGGGACAGTGCCCAGGCCCTGAGTTCAAGCCTCAGGACTGGCAATTTTTTTAACATATCCATAGGATTACAAAAAATTTAATAAAATTTTGCCATCGTAGCATTCCATGAAGTATACCATAAGATGCTCAGTAAGAACCAGAGGCATTTTTAACATTCATCAAAGTCTGGAAGACCTACACAAAGGTCAAGAATGTAAAGAAAAAGTATTTAAGGAATGAATATATACATATATATGGTTTTGTGCAGGTACTAGGGATTGAACTCATGACCTAAGTTGTGTCTCTTATCTTTTGTGCTTAAGGCTGGTCAACTCTACCACTTAAGCCATAGCTCCACTTCCGGCTTTTTGCTGGTTAATTGTAGATCAGACTCTCTTGGATTTGTCTGCCTGGGCAGGATTCAAACAGTGATGACAAATCCTCAGATCTCAGCCTCTAGAGTAACTAAGGATTACAAGCATGAGCTGTCAGCATCTAGGTAGGAATGAATATTTTAAGGGGATAACAGGTTTATGCTTCCAAGATGACCTACTTTTGCCATTTTTCCAATCAAAAAAGGCTTAAATACCTAGGAAAGACCTACAAATCATTAAGTACTCTAGTGACACTATAAATTATTTTTCTTTCCCTGTAAATTGGCTTAGATACCTATTGTGTGTGTTTGTTTGCACTAAGACTTGAACCTAGGGCCTCGGTGCTCTCCATTTTACTTAAAGCTAGTATTCTACTATTTGAGCTACACTTCTATTTCCAGCTTCTTGGTGGTTAGAGATTGTCTCTTGATTTTGAATTTCGACTCTCACATCTCAGCCTTCTGAGTAGCCATAATTACATGTGTGATAGAAAATTATCTTGAGCCAGGCTCCCAAAACAAATTCTTCATAGTAGGGTGGGTCAATGGTCTTATCCTCCACAAAAGTAGCTGAGAACTCAGTGGTATTTACATTTTCTAAGCCTTAAATCTTCTAAAATGGATTTTTCCTACCAAGGGAGACAGCTCCAGAATGAATGCACCTTTTAGGATCACAGCATGTATCTTACTATATTTGCAGTCTGTGAATCACAGGTACATCACTACTACAAGTGTTAAACAAATTCTGCAGTGGCAAACAAAGCACCATAATTTAAACACAGACTTATCCAACATGCTGAAGATCACCATATGTTAACATGAATTTTGTGTAACAAATACTAACCTCATAGTGACGTTTTATAGAAAACAAGAAAAATTTATATGTGATGAATTAGAATTTCATATAGATTATAGCAATGCACTTTGAGCATGGATATGTGATAGCAGAATATTGCAGCTCGTTGGTTAACTGACTTGGATATTCAGATAAGAATAACAATACAACAATGAAAACAGTTATATGAATGTTTTTGTTTAATTTATGAGCTTTTTATATAGTCTAGATATTATTCCTTTGCTGGACGAACATCTGGCAAAGATTTTCTCACAATCTGTAGCCTATCTGTTCTTTGGCTGGGAAAAAGGTGTTGTTTTTTTTTAATGATACAATGCTGGTGGCCTACATCTGTAATCCTATCTACTCAGGAGGCTGAGATCTGAGGCTCACAGTTCAAAGCCAGCCAGGGCAGGAAAGTCCATGAGAATCTTTTTTCTTTTTTAAGATGATATATATATTTTTTATTGTGAAAATATCGTACAGAGGAGTTACAATTACATGGGCAAGGTAATGAGTACATTTCTTATCAAGCATTGTTGCCTCCTCCTTTGTTTCCCCTTCCCTTCCCTGACTATCCCCCACTCCTCACCGCCCCCGCCCCTGCGCCTATGAGATTCTTATGTCCAGTAAACCACCAAAAAACTGGAAGTGGCGCTGTAGCTCAAGTCGTAGAGTGCTAGCCTTGAGCTGAAGAGCTGAGGGACAGTGCCCAGGCCCAGAGTTCAAGCCCCACAACTGACAAAAAAAAAAGATACAATCTCATCTGTCATAAGAGTAATCTCTTATATGAGGGACTCCTGGGAAGATGGAAGGGGAAGGGAGAAGGAACACAGGATAAGAAAGAGTAACAGAGTGTGAGCCTAATAAAAGTGTGCTATATGAATGTGTGGATATATAATAAGGAAAACTTTTACTTTGTACACAATATACAATAAGATCATGTGGTCCACTATATACTATTTTAATTCATTTTGTGCCAGTACTGGGGCTTGAACTTAGGGCTTCCAGATTTCACTTAGATTTTTTGCTCAATGTTGGTGCCACAGCTCCACTTCTGACTTTTTGGTGCTTAACTAGAGATAAGAGTATCATGGACTTTGCTGCCCAAGCTGATTTTGAATTGCAGTCCTCAGATCTCAGCCTCCTGAATAGCTAGGTTTCCAGTTGTGACCCATCAGTGTGTGCTTCAATATGTACTATTTAAAAATGCTCTTAAAATATTTGTAAAAATAAGATTGAGTGGTGATTTTCTATATATTTAAATCATATATGGTGCCTTAAATTTAGCAAAACAACTCATATAGGAGACAAAAATTCATTTTCCTATCAGCATAATAATTTGGTACTGACATAGAGTAAATATGGAGTAATTAATCTCTTCATTATTTCTTTTTTTGCCTTCCGCATTATTGTTTACAAAGCAGAAGAGAAAAGAAAATGTCTACTCTACAATGTTCTGTGTTATATAGTTTGGTGAGAGACTGAGTTAGCCGGATCCTGTTAGGAGGGCAGCAGATAGACTTTTCGCCCCTTGTACACAGAAATTATTCTCCATAATTTTATTGTTGCCTAGTATTTTCATTAGTGTTCATTCATTACACAAAGAGTGATTTTACCATCGAGTTATTGTTGACCCCAGTGCATCATTCTGATTTCTCTAATATTATGTGACGGTCATTTAAATTTCTCATGATTATGCTTCTAGATTTCTCACATTAAAGCAGGGAGGAAGACTCTGGGTACCAGTGGTTCATGCCTATAATCATAGCTACTGAGGAGACTGAGATCTGAGGATTGCAGTTTGCAGCCATTCTGGGCAGAAAAGTCCTTATGAGATTCTTATCTCCAATTAAGTACTAAAAAACTGGAAATGGTATTGTGGCTCAAAGTGGTAGAGTTCAAGGACAGTGCCTAGGCTCTGAGTTCAAACCCCATGACCAACAACAACAAAATAAACCAGGGAGGATGTCTTGTGTGCTTTACACACCTTGGGAAGATGTTGTCATGATTTCAAAGGGTTTTTAGTTTTTTTTTTTGGGTCCGGTCGTGGGTCCTGAACTCTGGACCTGGGCGCTGTTCCTTAGCTCTTCAGCTCAAGGCTAGTGCTCTACCACTTGAGCCACAGTGCCACTTCCGGCTTTTTTTCTTTTTGCTTATGTTGTGCTGAGGAATTGAACCCAGGGCCTCATGCATGCAAGGCAAGCACTCTACCACTGAGCCACCTTCCCAGCCCCTACTTCTTTCTTCTTTGATGTTGGGGATACACTGTAGGTCCTTTGGCATGCCAGGCATATACTCTCCCACTGCCAAATATTTTTAGTAACATTGATAGTCATACAATATTACATGATGTATCAAGATTATCAGAGTCAGATTCAGAGAGTAATGTCAACAATATCACAAGGAGCCCTAAAGACAGACAAAAGGATCCCAACTTGGGAAATAGTGACTAGTAGCTGTGGAAAGTTCCTAAATTAAGCTTCCAAGTAACATGGTGAGAGGATTTTCAGGATGGTTAATCTAGTAGGGATGGGACAGTGGACTCCAACATCTAAGTGACCATGTTTGCTCTGAAATGGTACTGATGCTTCTCAGCTGTCCCAATACACCTGAAGACCTACAAATAACAATTTCAAAGGAGAAAGAAAAGGCAAGGGGAGGATTACTATAGACTCTATCCACCAGTTGGTATGTAAGACTCAGACAACAACTAAGGGCTTCTTATAGGGCTTTGCAAAGAAAAACAATGTCTATGAATTCAAATCAGTTTTTTTTTTGTCTGTCGTGGGGCCTGAACTCTGGGCCTGGACGTTGTCCCTCACCTATTCAGCTCAAGGCTAGTGCTCTACCACTTGAGCCACAGCACCATTTTTGTTTTTTGTTTTTTTTTGCTTATATGGTGCTGAGGAATCAAACCTAGGTTCTTGGGCACACAAGGCAAGCACTCTACCACTGAGCCACCTTCCCAGCCCCCTAGTTCTTTTTTTTAAAGAAAAAGTATATTCTAGACTTACCTCATTGCCACATTACTTCCATCAATGACAATCGGTCTCAAATTGTCACTGTTGTCTATTTCATCTTCAAGAGACAATTCAGGGCTTGCAATTTCTCTGGAGCTGGGCCCATGGGGCACTAATAGACTTAAATTGACCTGCCCTTCTGAGTCCCCTTTGTTTCCAAGTCTGACAAGCTCTGCCAATACATCATTAATAAGTGATTCAGGGCCCAGCTTATTCAGCACAGATTGGATCTGTTCTTCAGCATAGCCCAGCTTTAGAGCAAAATCCATCTTGGCTTGGTATTCCTTCTCCAAGTCGAGTTTACCATCATGTAAAATACTGCTCTGGGAGAAGCTAGGACGATCCAGGCAGGGTGATCGGCAGAGCTGGCGGTGGGGTTTGGAGTGCATCTCCTTTTTCTTCAACTGACTATCAACAGGATGGCAGCTGTTGTTGCTGTGGATTTTAAGGCTCATCTGTTCAGGGTCACTCTCAGAACTCATCCACTCTTCAGAATCAACATTACCTTGCTCTGTGCTGTTTTCTTTAGGCTGCTGTTTTTCTTCCTTGGAGGCATTCTTCTCCATTTTTGGTGTCTCCACTGCAGCTGTGGCCGTCATCCCGTTCAGTGGTTAGACTGAAGACTAATCAGCTTTGTTTCTTTCTAGCTGGCTTGGAATCTACGTAGAGTGGCATTCCTCTTTAGTAAAATGTCATGGTAGCAATGGCGCAAGAGTCTACGTGTTTGGTTTGGTGTATTCAGATATTACCAGTTTCTACAAAGAAACACATAAGTCATAATCATCCTCAGTAAATTTTGGGGAAAAATTTAGAATACAGAGTTTCTTCCAAAGCAACTACAGGTTCTCTAGCATTTGATTTTTTTCTGCTTACAAGGATCACACTTACTTTACACTAGAAATATAGTCTTTAATTCTAATTGTCAGTGAGGGCAGTAAGGCTGCAATCTTCTCCACTTCCCTCTGAATCACTACTAGTTACTATTTACTATCATGACTAGAAACTCTACTTCAAGATGCAAGAGTGTATGTGTGTGTGTACATGCATTATTTTTCTTTTTTGGTAGGGAAGTATTTCTCAGTTCTTTACTAGATCTTTCATTTTTCGTGTGTGTGTGTGTGTGTGTGTGTGTGTGTGTGTGTGTGTGTGTGTGAAAGCATGTATGTGTATGCATGCATGCAGGTATTTGGGCTTGAACACAGGGCCTGTGCATTCTTGTTTGGCTTTTTCATTCAAGGCTGGTGGTCTACCACTTGAGCCACAGCTCCACTTCTGTTTTTTTTTTTTTGTGTGTGTGTGTGTGTGTTTAATTGGAGATAAAAGTCTCAGGGACTTTTCTGCCTGAAATGACTTTGAACCTCAATTCTTAGATTTCAACTTCCCAAGTAACTAGAATTACAAGTGTGTGCCACCAGTGGCTAGGCAGATCCTTTTTGTTAATGTTGAAATCCACTCCTGACAAGCATATTCTCTCTAGCATTACTCTGAAAAATAACAGAGACACCTGCATACTAGGCAGACTAGACAACCATTAAAATTGCTTTTAAACAATCCAAGTAGGGTATAAGGATAAAAACATGAAGGAATACTCTGAGTATATCAGTATTCTCTGTATTTTATTTACTATAATTAGTAAACAAAGGGAGCAAATCAGCCGGGCATGGTGGTACATACCTTTAGTCCCATCTATTCAGGAATTTGAGACAGGAGGATCTTTTGGACCTTGAGGGAGATACCCTTTCCCCTGGATAGTAGATCTTGTATCTTAAAAAGTGTAAGAAAGGAGAAAATTAATTTTCTTCAAGAATAGTTTTGAAAGGATGTTAGTTATAGAAAGGAATTAGGAACAATTTATTTCTAAATTTCACTCTCACCAACATCCTCTATCTTGACAGGTTTTGAGTATAACTTGTTTTCTTCTCTTTGAGGCTGAGTTTTCTCATGTATGAAATGAGGACATTGAGAACTACCTCACAGGCTAACTGTAAGAATTACATAAAATGAGTAAGGGAAAGTGCTTAGAAAAGTGAACAGAACATTGTAGATTCTGAACATATATAAAGGAGGTAGCACAGTTACTTTTTAGAAAGATTGACAGCGAGGCAATTCTATAGACCTCTAAACTCTGCTTATTAATATAAACCCACATAACAATGGCTGGGGCTGGGGTGAAATGGTGGGGTGCCTTCTTAGCATACAGGAGGCCCTGAGTTCAATCCTTAGTGCCTCAAACAAAAAAACAGCAGGGTACATATATAACTAGTATGTAGGGGATTTCTAGTTACAACTCAATCCCATTTATATAAAAAAGAAAATCCCCAAAAAGTTTTAACCATGTTATGGATGACTACATGCTTATTTTAGGGGTCACATTTGGAAATATTGTTATAGAAGTGACACTTCAGAACTGGCAATTAAGAAGCATGCAATGACTTTTCTAGTGATTACCACTTTTGAACTAAAACAAAACAAAAAAATTCCCACTCCTCCTTCAATAGCCAGGTCTGACAGTGAATAGCTGTAATTCCAGCACTCAGAAGGCTAAGGCAGACTAGCCGAGCTACTTACAAAGTGAGATTCTATCTCAATTTTTTTTTTCATGTTGGATGCCTATAGTTCAAGCCTGCAATTCTAGGCATTCAGGAGACTGAGATCTGAGGATCAAGGTTTAAAATCAACATAGGCATAAAAGTCTTTGGGATGGAAACTCCTACCTTCAACTAATTATCTTCAATTAAATGGTAAAGTGCTTGCCTACCTGAAAGTGGAGCTGTGGCTCAAGTGGTAGAGCATGGGCCTTGAGCAAAAAAGCCAAGAGATAAGTGCCTAGGCCCTGAGTTCAAGCCCCTGGAACACCCCCCCCCAAAAAAAAAAGAGATTGGGAAATAATTCAAGAAGGATATAGAATTTGGAGTTGTTTTGACTAGTAAATTAATATTTACTTAGTTCCATCTATGTGCTAGGCGATCCCTTAGTGAATGAGAATATAAAAACAAAGATCCTAGTTGCAAAGAGCTTATTTATATTGATGGAGGTAGGAAATGGAGACAGATAATAATTAGTGGCTACATTTTTTAAAATCTTTTTTTTAATCTTTTTTTTTTTTTCTGGTCGGTCGTGGGGCTTGAACTCTGGGCCTGGGCGCTGTCCCTCAGCTCTTCAGCTCAAGGCAAGAGCTCTACCATTTGAGCCCACTTCCTAGTGGCTACATTATTATAAAGGGTGGCTACAGGGAACTATGAGTTGAACCTTAAAAAAAAATCAACAATTTCCTGGATATAATACATTTTAAAAATTTTACTGCCAGGTAATGGTGGCTGTAATCTAGCTATTCAGGAGTCTGAAATCTGAGGATCACAGATCAAAGCCAATTGAGGCAGGAAAATCTGTGAAACTCATCTCAAATTAGCCAGCAAAAAGCCAAATTGAAGGTATGGGACAAATGGTAGAGTATCAACTTTGAACAAAAAAGAAACAGAGAGAATCATGAAAAAATATGCAGATGTTGTTGGTAGAGCTGCTATAATGTGCTTGAGGATATAAATAAGAACGATGTCATAGCATGCAATTCTATCATATTGAGACCAGAGGGTCTCAAGTTCAAGGTCAGTTTTGACTATAGTGAGACCTTATATTAAAAATTATGATTAAGTAAATAATTATAAAAATGGTATCCAAATCTATAAAAAGCAGAAAAATCTAAACAGGCAAAACACTTCCAAAAGGGAAATAACCTCAGGGACTTTCCACCAAACAAAAAAGATAAGTCTTTAACCTTTCTCTCTCTCCTTCATTCCTTTTGTTTTAAAACACAATGCATTTCAGACTGCAGTTGTACACAATAATTTCCTAAAATCCATCTTTAAGTTCTATGATATGTCTCATTTCATCTTTTCCAAACTCTCAAAAAATAGCCTATAAGGAAACAAATATCTGTCCATGTATACTGAGCCAAAACAGTTAGAAATTCTCCCCAAAGCCCCAAAACTAGATAGGCTAGAGCTTCCCAGCAGCAAGAACAGATTTTTTTTTTCCATAAAAGTGAACTCAAAGAAAATATGCATAGAGCCTGGTACTATTGACTTATGCTTGCAATCCTATCATTCAGGAGCCTGAGATCTGAGGATGGAAGCAAGTCTGGCAGGAAAGTTCTTAAGATTCTTATTTATAATTAACCTGGAAGTAGAGCGGTGGCTCAAATGGTAGAGTACTATCCTTGAGCAAAGAAGCTCAGGGACAGCACCCAGGCACAAAAATACACATTAAAAATCATCTGTTTGAAATTTGGGAATGCTTCAGGTAAATTGGAGGTTATTATAGTTCAGTCATTATTAGAATACTGTTTTTTTTTTTTTTCCTGAATTTAACTTTCTGAACTAGACTACTATTTTCAGAAGTAGCTTTAAAGAGAATGAATACAAATCGGCACGGTATCAAACCAACACATTTTACTTTAGAATAGCAAAGAAAATAAGTGCTATTATGCAAGTTTGGTAACAGGAAATAACATTTACATTTGACTTGAGTCTTAGAATTGTTGAAGTGCTTTTATACATGGCTCTCAATCAATGGGGCCAAATCATTACTGCCACAACTCAGAACTCAGGTTTGAGCTATTATGACTTACATATCTCACCTCCAATTCACCGAGGCAAGCACATCAGCTCATAAAATAAGTCATATCTCAGGGAGAAATAGAAAATGAAGGCTTTCTCACATGCTTGGGAGGCGAAGAGGCTTTCAAATGTTACTGATTCCCAAAACAAGAAAGGTTCACATAAAGGAACTCTGAAAATTCAAAGTTCAATTTGTGTGTGTGTGCAAGAGAGAGAGAGAGAGAGAGAGAGAGAGAGAGAGAGAGAGAGAGAGAAAGAGACAGACAGAGACAGAGACAGAGAGACAGAAAGAGAGACAGACAGACAGAGACAGACACAGAGAGAGAGAGACAGAGAGAAAGTGTTCTGAGGCTGGAACTCAGGGCTTCCTGATCCCCTTTAGCTTTTTTTCTTTTTTTTTTTTTTATTGTAAAAATACCATACAGAGGGGTTACAATTACATGGGCAAGATAGTGAGTACATTTCTTATCAAGCCCCTTTAGCTTTTTCCTCAAGGTTAGCACTCTATCACTTAAGACATAATGCCACTTCTAGAATTTTTTGCTGGTTAATTGGAGATAAGAGTCTCATGGATTTAGCTGCTTAGCCTGGCTTTGAACCACCATCCTCAGATCTTAGCTTCTCAAGTAGCTAGGCGTGAGCCACTGATGCTTGGAAACAGTCTTTTATTACACATTCATTCTCTTACAACTTCAAACAAAATTACTGATGATTTGTTTTCAAGACCCATTTTTGGCCCTGTGTCCTCTTTTCCTGCTACTTTCCACCATTACTTATTTAGGAAGGACCCATATCCACAGGACATCTGTAACACTTTGTACCACATCCAGTTGTCCATACAACTCAGGGTGTTACTATGCTAGCCACATTCCTTTTCCTTATTCTATATACATCCTATAATACTACTTGTACAATTGCATTTTCAATTGGTTGAGAAAGGTGAGACATGAATTAAAAATGTAATTGTTATTATAAGGGTGATA